CGAACCCAAGTCACGCGGGCGCCAGAAGTGGTGCAAACAGCATAAATCCCTGATGTCGTAAAGCGCCCCACTCCCTCGAGAAAAAGAAGAGGTACCCCATCCCCTCCAGGATGCCTTTTGGGTTTCCCTTTTTACCAAAGAGGGTACCAGCTCGAGGGCTAACCATGATGGCCCCTTTTCAATCACAATGCTTCTCAGAAGTGGCTTCCCGCAAAGGTTTCTTCGGTCCAGCTCAAGCCCCGCTGTAGTCCTTCAGATTCCGTGGGCCTTTCCATGAAAGTTCCCAGAGGCTACCTGAAGACAGGAGCGCCCGTTAAGAAACGGCCCGATGAGGCACACCATTCCTCTTGGCGACACTGTTTAGTCGGCTTCTCCGTCGCTCGGGCCCTCTTGGTGTCCTTTGCGAGCCATTTTTGGAGCCCTCAATTCCTCCGGCTCCTTCATCTCGTCTTCGTCAGCACCTCTTCTGCCGGTTTTTCAATGATCTCCTCAATCTTCTCCTTTCACTGAAGATTCCTCAATCTCTCGAGCTTCTGCTTCTCCTTTTAGAAGATCCCGCAGCGTCTTCCCTGCAACCTGTCTCTCGGCGTAGGGATCCACCACAGCGCATTCCTTGCGGCATCTTGTCAACCGCAGCGACTGCCCTGGTGCGATACCTCCAAGGCCCCCCCCTCCCCACCTCTCGGAGCCACAACTTTCTCCGAAGCTCCGCAAGTTCCGGCAGATCCTCCGCGCGCTGGGGTTCTGAATCCGCTCGCTGAGCTGTCCCTGAAACGAAGCACGGGTCGCGCGGATGTTCTTGACATGGCCCATGAGAAGATCACCTTTTCGCGGCTCGAAGCCGTCGCAGGCTTTCCGGTAGTTCGCGGCGCTCGTTTGGGACCTATGTAGCCTATGTCTCATGCCAACGAGTCCCCATCGGTGAAGGTCAGTCGACCGGGCCATGGGTGCCATGGCCCCGGTCACCGGTTCGGCAACTCCAAGGTGAGTCGCAGCTCCAAATGGACTTCTCCTTCCAACTTGGCTTTTCCCCGCCCTTTCCTTCCGGGCTTTCAGCATCCCGCAGGCCTTCACCCTCGTCCTGAAGAGGACTCAGCCCTTGGTCTCACCAGTGCACAAGGCAGAGGTGTCCTTTTGCGACCCGCGAAATTCCCGCAGCTCCCAGGCATGCCCTGCACCCCTTGAAGGGTTGACCCGAGCCGCGCAGAGCTCCCCCTCCCCAATCTTCGCACCCGGCCCCGAGGGGTGCAAAACGCCTTCCTGCAACCAGTTTCCTCAGATTCCAAGGCAGATCCTTCCCGTTTACTGCTATGCGGCGTATCAGTCCAAGATGTCCCCCACAAAAAACCCATTTGGCTTTGCCTGTCCCATTGAGCTGCAGCTTCCTTCGTTCGCACATCCGGCGCTTCAGCTCCATCATTTCCTTCCGCCCAGCTCCTCGGCGCTTCGAGTGCCCGAAATGTCCCTCGGGGCCGCATGGCCCGCGCCTCAGGTCATTGGTGGGCCACTGCTCAGGGCATCGTCTGTGCCCTCTTGCGCTCAGACGATGCCTCCGCAGCCATGATGCTAAAGGGGGCTCAGAACCTAAAGAGAGGAAGCCAACCTGAATTCTCCACCAGATCAGCTTGATGCTAACAGGGAGCTTTCATGCTCATGTTCCAAATGCGACGCCAGGCTGAGATTCCTCCAATAGAAAGAACCTTGGAAGAACCTTTCGGTTGGGGGGGAGGGGAAAACGGCATCCTACAGAGTGGCGAACCCCCTATCCCTCGTGCTTGTGAGTCAGAGGCGTGCCTCGCAGGCAATCAAGCGGCACCCATCAGATCCCCAAACGGGCGAGGGCTTCCGCAAAGTGAAACCAGCCAAAAGGAGCTGCAAGGGCCTAGATACGTAGGTGCGTGGCGCCAAATTACCTTTGTTTTCTTCTTTTTCTCAGGGTAGTTTAAGGGTAGAGGTGCAGGCATTGTGATCCCGTGATTTGAACCCCAGAAGAATCCAGGCTTGTGGGAAGTTGGCTACGAATTTCGGTGATAAGGGAAGCGCCAGTTTCAGTGGGGATGGGAGTCTCACTTTGGTATCTCCAATGCAACGTGTTGGTCGAAACAAAGGAAAGAGGAACTGACCTCGCCCCCCCCAAAAGAAAAGAAAAGAAGAGAAAACAAAAGAAGAAGAACACAAACGGGGGGGTGGGGGGGAACAAAAACCCCAAAAAAAGAACGTCGAAAAGAAGAAGGCAGAGGCCGAGTGTCGCCCCGAACTGGACCTCAGCGCGAGGCTCAGCTACGAGAAGAGCGCCCGGCAGTTGGTGGAGGTGTTCCAGGCCTGGGAGCCGGGAGCTGGGAGCTGGGGGCGGAGAGGCGGTGGTTTGGCATGGGGCGTGTCCTGTGCTCGTGTTTTTTTTTGTTGGAGGTGGGGAGCCGTGATTTATATTTTTTGGGGGGGCGATGGGGGATTCATGGATTTGTACCCAAAATGGGGTCGGCCATGAGGAAAGCCGAAAGGGGGTTCTTCAAGCAATATCCCGGGGATTCTGAATCCCCTCCCACCCAAAGCATTTTGGTTTTCTGATTTAAAGACAGCAACTGGCAATATGTTCTTGGTGTTGGGTAGATAAGTGGAGTCTTTTTCCGGTTTTGTGATTGGCCGGCGATTGTGGTTGGTCGGCAACCCGAAATATTACCTAATTTTGGGTGATTTGTGGGGTAAACATGTGGGGTTCAAGAGTTGATTCAAGGGCCCCAATATCCTGCAAGCCACGGCAAGGGATCCCCCGAGTTTCGTTCGCTTCACCGCGACCCGGTTGGTGCGGTGCGTCGGACCGAGCCCTAGGTGGCCCGAGACGTCCAGCCAAATTTTGGGTCTGCTTTTCCGCAAGTCTCGGACCATTCGGTGAACGGAGTTGACCAAAACTTGGACGGAGACTTGGCACGTTGATGTTTCCCCAGACGTGAGTGGGCCCAATAATCTGCGCGTCCCTTCGAACATCGGAAAGGGGTCCCCAGTTTTAGGAAGCAATGTGGCAGATATTCAGAGGGTGCCATTGATTCTTGACATAACTTGAAAGGTGCAGGTGGTGCGAAAGCCTGAGTCTTCACGCGTTTTCATCACTGGAGTTGGGTGGATTTCGGGAAAGTTCTCGAGGCGAGAGCGACTTGAACCTAGGCAAATGGCTGGTTGAGCTTGTTGATTTGCGTGTCAAACTAGCCCAACAATGCTCCTGTGCTTGGACTTCCTTTGGCATCTCTTCACTTGAAGTGCTCGACCTGTCGGTGTTCAATGCGGACAGCCCGCGTTATATGCTAGGTGCACCTTCGGCGCACTGTGTTTGCACATTTGTCTGCCTATTTCATGGCGTGCTCACCTGGGGGTATAGCAAGCTCACCATGACAAAGTCCTTTACAGGGGTATCCAATTCTTAATTCAGCAGTTTTTTCTTTGGTGCATTTTGCTTGGCTGTTAGGACTTTAACTTTTTGCCAACTAATTGGTTTTCCACTAAAAGAACTAAAAGTTAAACTTTTAGCAGGGGAGCAGAAACCAACCGAGTTTTGGAACCATGTTAAAACTTGCAGATTTGTCCTTTGGTTTATAGTTTTCACTTTGGTTCGACGACGAAAGCACATGGGACGAAGAACTCCGGCGCGCGAGAAGCAACGAGCCAACCAAAGAACCTTCGCCTAACTTCCATTTGGTTAAGAATATTTTTCCCCTGCGAGTTTTAAAGGGAATCTATCACTACTGCGAAGAATTTTTATTTTTTCAGGAGACTTAAGCAAAGGGAGGCAAAGAGTCAGTGGTCCCTTCGGACTCGCGAGCAAAGACGGCAGGTCATGGATGACCCGGTGGTCTTGTCCAAAGTGTTGCAGGGCCTGAGCGACGTGGATTTCAGATTGTCCATCGATGTGATGAAGGTCCTGAGCGTCCGGAGCTCAGCCGAAAAGATCCACCAAAAACGAAACTGGATGTGGCTAGAAGGCCATCCGGTTCCTTAGCTTATTAGCTTTTTGGCTTTTTAGGTTTTGGTGGGGGTTTCCATTTAACCCACTGAAAGTTAAACTTAGCAGGGGATCTGCAACGCTTGGTTCCTGCTTAAAGAACTGGGTGCTGAATTGCTAATTTTTTGTTGATTTACCCAGAGGGACACCACAAGGGGATGGGTGATTGCATTTTTCCAGGTGTCCTAGCATCCAGACAGTCAGGCCGCGGGCCATTCTTTGCAAGTCTTGGCATGAGGTGGAGTGGAGATAATTGCCAGATCGCGACGTGTTGCCAAATCCGTGTGCAAGTCAAAGTAGAGCCTCAAAAGTCTATTTTCTTTCTTAACCTTCCCTTTTCACCATCCATGCAAACCGGTGTCTTCCGTTTGAGAACCCCCCGCCCCCGGAAAACAAAAGAAAAACTCGGCTTCCCGAGGTAGAGCTGCTGGGCAACAAGGAGACAGGTCGCTTGATCTGGAGGTGCGGCATGTGACTTGCTGTGCCGAAGGTCGATTTGGGTCAAGGAACCACGTGGCTGCCGGTTCGCCGAAAGAAAACGTGTTAGGCCCCCAAGCGTTCCAGGGACTTAGGGGCCAAAAACTCTGACCCAACCTGAGATGGGTTTGTGGCAGGTTTCCCTTCTGAGACAAGGGGTCACCGGGAAAAAGGACACACCCTTATGTTCTTTACATGGGTTGTCTGTGACGGAATTTTCTGTGCAGGCTTCGCGAGCTCGCGGAGCCTGTCAAGCTCAAGCCTTTGAAGCCTTTGGAGACGCTAGGCAACTCCGATAAAAACATTGTGCGGACTGTATACAGATTTGGCTGTGGCTCAAAAAAGTGGTACCAAAATGGCACCCTGGTAATGGAACCAAAGACTAAAACCCGCGTAACCCCAGCTCTTTAATTTTGAGCCGTACCCATTTTTCACCCAAGGAATTCCAGTCGCTCCCGGGGCTAGCCCCCAAGAAGCACGCCGGAAATCTGGCCGCTCGCCAGGCAGCACGGCCGCATGAGCACGGGAGCCCAGACACGGTCTGCCGTGGGTCCTTTTTTATTTTATTTTCAATACATATATATATATATGTTTTGCGGACGTCAAAGCTTTTGGGTGAGGAGAACGTCACGGAACGATGCCTAATTGTCATCGTTGTCATCATGATTATCATCTAGCATCGCCCAAAAAATCCAGCAGGGATGATGATAACGAGCGGAAGCGGCGCTGAACATAGAGTGCAGGAGTATCTAGGCTTTGCACAAAACATGTTTGTTTCCCGCCATGGGCTGCGGGACAGAATTGATGCTGGATTGTGACATCATCATCCGCATCGTTATGACTATCATCGTAGTCTCCCCAGCATTCCCAGCTGATGATGATGTTGATGACAATCATGATGGTGATGGCGTACCATGATGATGATTTTGAAGCAGACATGATCGCCACCCTTCCTGTGCGCCTCGCCCTTTGCAAGGGGCCGGTGGACATACATACATACATACATACATACATACATACATACATACATACATACATACATACATACATACGTACGTACGTACATACATACATACATAGCTACATAGCTACATACATACATACATACATACATACATACATACATACATACATACCTACCTCCATACATACATACATGCATACATACATACACGCATACATACACGCATACATACATACACACATGCATACATACATACATACATACATACATACATACATACATACATACATACATACATACATACATACATACATACATACATACATACATACATACACACATACATACATACATACATACATACATACATACATACATACATACATACATACATACATACATACATACATACATACATACATACATACATACATACATACATACATACATACATACATACATACATACATACATACATACATACATACATACATGCATACATACATACATACATACATACATACATAGATAGATAGATAGATAGATAGATACGTTACATAAATGAATACATGCATACATGCACACGCACACACGCATACATACATACATGCATACATGCATACATACATACATACATACATGCATGCATACATACATACACACATACATTCATACATACATTCACACATACATTCATACATACATACGTACATACATACATTCATACATCCATACATTCACACATTCCTTTTTTACATTCATACATTGATGCATTCAGACATTCATACACTCACACATGCATACATTCATGCATTTATACATTCATACATACATACACCACTCTTAAACAGTTGAGGTTTCCCATTGTTTGCGCACGCACAAGGGGCGACATGTTTGCAATTCATAGCACGCCTTTCGTACTGGGAAATATGTTACGCAACTTTGCATCAAACTCACTGCTACGAGTTTCCATTATGCTTAGCTCGTTTCTTGCCAAGGAAATTGTGTTGTCGTGTTCTTGTGTAAACCAAGCGCAACAGATACGTAATCGAAGATGGCACAAACAACCTTCTACAATTTTCACTTCCAATTTTGGGACAGCCGACCGCCAAAATCCATATACATGCTCTTCCGAGCTGCCGGAGAGTTTCAGCTGACTCAGGTTTCAACAAGCAGCAGGCACGTGAGCGACTCGCTTTGGGCGACTGGGTTGAGAAAAAATGAGGTATGCCACAGCCCCTACTTAAAGGGGCAGGGTACTTAGCAAGTGGTTAGCAAGCCTGGTTATAGCCCACTTAGGAGACCTGTGGGTTGTAACCAGGCTTACTAACTCACTTACTAAGTACCCTGCACCTTTCAGTAGTGCAAGTTTATTGGGGCTAGTCGGCTAGTCTCAAACCCGGACGGCCTTTGCAATCCCTGTTTGTTTGTTTGGTGTCTTCCGTGCAGGGATCTTTTGCCGACCTCACATGGGCTCGATGTTTTCCAACTCTTGAGGTCAAAGAAACAGCTGCAAAAGTTTACCTGCTCTCAGCTTGGACCTGAAGTTTGTCAAGCGTTTCGATGCATTGCTGTTTTAGCAAGCCGCAAACCCTGCTCTTTTGTCAGGGCTCTTTGTTCCTTGCCAGGAACGAGGACCGGACAAGCCGGAGAATTTCTGAGCGGGTCTCCTTTTCACGAAAGCTAGCTTTAGCTAGCTGAAGTTTCTCCTTGCGTAAGCAAGGTAAGGGGCTCAAATGCCGAAAGATTGATTTTTTCAATTATTTGAGCCGAAAAGATTGAAAAACATCAATTATTTAGACCCCCCCCCCCCTCCCCCCCCCCCCGGGTCTCAGGCTCGATTCCTCCCTGGTCCATCCCCCCCCCCGGGCAGTGGCTCAGTGTTCAGCAGTCTCGGTTTGCCCGTTTTGGACTTGGTGCTACGAACTTTTACATGTTCCACCGATTCAGCTTGTTCATTTGAGACCTCAGTCTTCTCGGTAAACCACCTCGCAAGAATCTTTGCACACGCAGCATGCAGAACCCAGAGGTGCTTTAAGACGGCTTCTGACGCCTCTCGTTGTTTTCATTTTTCAAGGTTTGCCACGCCACCATGTGCGCTTGCGTGTCGCATCCTACGAATCTTGCCGGGCTATGAATCCACTCTGTCACCGACCCATCTCATGCAACAACTGCTAGCTTTCGTTCACCCGCTCCTCAAGTTTTGGTCAGGCAAGCCGGCTTGGATCAAGTCACGGCATTTGCAGGTTTTTTTGTGCTTTTCAGTCTTGTCTGGCCAACCGCAAGGGGTTCTTTCGAGACTCACAACGTGTGTGAGCAGTTCTAATGCACGGAACCTCTCTCGGCGAAGCTGAGAGCGATTCGGGCTGCGGCTTGGCAGAAGGCGCTGAGGATTTCGATCCACTCTGATTAGGGGGTGGTTTTGAATGCCCCACCTGTTGATTTTCCCTGAGTGCCAAAAGCGTGGAAACCAGCAGTGCTGTTTCAGTGAGCTATCCGAGCTTCGTTTCCTTGCCAGGAACGAGGACCGGCCCGCCCGAGACTTTCTGCGCAGGCCCTTGTTTTTGGGCCAGGCAAGCCAGGGTTTGATCAGTTTGTGGCATTGTGTTTTCTGTTTTTCGTGCTTTTCAGTTCTGGCCAAGCGTCCTGCATTCCCAGACTCACAACGTGTGTGAGCAGTACTGCGACGAAGCTCTCAGCGAAGCTGAGAGCAACTCGGAGGGCAACAGAAGCTGCGGATGTCGATTCACTCTTTGCATGCGGCAGCGTTTTGACACTTCGCATATGCCCACACATGCAACACATGCAGCTTGCAGGCTTGTCACCTGGCTCCTTGCAACTGGAGTTTTCCTTCTTCGCGCGGGCCGGAGGTGGAAAAGAGCGAACGGTGTGAGGACCATTGCGTGGAAAGCTGATTTCACGCAAATGTGCCACGAATTGTAGGAAAAAGCAAAGGTAGTGTCTGGTTTCCCAAATGCTCAGTATAACCAAATCAGCAAGTCAAGCAAGTTCAATGTGTGTTTCCACGAAAGACAGGTCATGCCGTGGACCACGTAAACACCAGGCTTGACCCTAACGGGCACCTGAATCAGTGTTGCGCGTGCGTGGAGTTTGAGGGAAGTTTGGTTTCTCGAATGATAAGAATATATTGTTGTTTGATAATATATATAAATATTGATTTAAATAAATAAAATGAAATTTAGATGAATTTAATATTGGGAAAATATTTTGTTAAAAATAATAATTGTTGTTACTTATATTAGTTGTGTTTTTAGTTAAAAAGATTAATTTTATACAAATAATATAAATTAATATTTATTATGATTTAGTATGAAATTAATATATATAATAGAATATATAAATACATATAATAATTTGTCTTTTTTTGGATTTTAGGGTTGTATTAGGATTTAACCAACGCACCCACCCAAGCTGCAAGGACCAGCGGTTCCAGAATCGACAACGCGCCCCCTCTACCGACCCAAGCTTGCAGTTCTAGCCATCCGTGTGTCCTTGTCCGCCACCTATGTTTTTCTTTTCTTGGTGGCTTCCAGCCATCTGCTTCCTTAGCTTTGTAGCTTTTTAGGGATTGGTGGGATCGCCCGCTAAAAGTTAAACTTTAGAGCCTCCGGCTCAGTCCGCCGACATTGTCCTCTCCCTTTTCTCCTTCTTCCTCTCTCCCTTGTCTCCCTGGTGTGTTCTGTCGTCCTCTCTCCCTCCCTCCGCTCCCCATCCTCCCCATCCCCCCAAGCCACTCTCTCCCCAATCTCCCTCTCTCGTATGTATGTATGTATGTATGTATGTATGTATGTATGTATGTATGTATGTATGTATGTATGTATGTATGTATGTATGTATGTAATGTATGTATGTATGTATGTATGTATGTATGTATGTATGTATGTATGTATGTATGTATGTATGTATGTATGTATGTATGTATGTATGTATGTATGTATGTATGTATGTATGTATGTATGTATGTATGTATGTATGTATGTATGTATGTATGCATGCATGCATGCATGCATGTATGTATGTATGTATGTATGTATGTATTGCATGTATGCATGTGTGTAATGTAATGTAATGTATGTATGTATGTATGTATGTATGTATGTAAGGTAGGTAGGTAGGTAGGTAGGTATGCATGCATGCATGCATGCATGTATGTATGTATGTATGTATGTATTGCATGTATGCATGTGTGTAATGTAATGTAATGTAATGTATGTATGTAATGTAATGTAATGTAATGTAATGTAATGTAATGTAATGTAATGTAATGTAATGTAATGTAATGTAATGTAATGTAATGTAATGTAATGTAATGTAATGTAATGTAATGTAATGTAATGTAATGTAATGTATGTATGTATGTATGTATGTATGTATGTATGTATGTATGTATGTATGTATGTATGTATGTATGTATGTATGTATGTATGTAATGTAATGTAATGTAATGTAATGTAATGTAATGTAATGTAATGTAATGTATGCATGTAATGTATGTCTGTAATGTATGTATGTGAGAAATGTAATGTCATGTAATGGAATGTAATGTAATGTAGTGTATGTATGTATGTAATGTATGTATGTATGTATGTATGTATGTATGTATGTATGTAATGTAATGTAATGTAATGTAATGTAATGTAATGTATGCATGTAATGTATGTCTGTAATGTATGTATGTGAGAAATGTAATGTCATGTAATGGAATGTAATGTAATGTAGTGTATGTATGTAATGTATGTATGTATGTAATGTATGTATGTATGTATTTATGCGTGTAATGTATGTATGTAATGTATGATATGTATGATATGTACGTATGTATGCATGCATGTATGTATGTAATGTATGTATGTGTGTAATGTAAGTATGTATGTATGTAATGTAAGTAAGTATGTATGTATGTATGTAATGTGTGTATGTAATGTATGCATGTAATGTATGTATATGTATGCATGTATTCATGTATGTATGCATGTGTGTATGTATGTATGTATGTAATGTATGTAATGCATTTAATGTATGCAAGGTATGTAATGAATGCCATGTATGCAATGTATGTAATGTATGTAATGTGTGTGTATGTATGTATGTACGTATGTATGTATGTATGTATGTGTGTATGTAATGTATGTATGTAATGTAATGTAATGTAATGTAATGTAATGTAATGTAATGTATGTATGTGTGTATGTATGTATGTGATGTATGTATGTATGCATGCACTTATGCATGTATGTCTGTAATGTATGTGTGTACTGTAATGTAATGTAATGTAATGTAATGTAATGTAATGTGATGTAATGTAATGTAATGTAATGTAATGTAATGTAATGTAATGTAATGTAATGTATGCATGTATGTATGTATGTATGTATGCTTGGTTTTCTTGTGCTTTGTTTGCCTGTCATTCCACTTGCACTCCCCTTGTTTTCATTTCTGTCCCTTTCATTTCAGTTTGCCTTTGTTTCCCTTTCATTTCCCGTTGCTTTCTTGTCATGTCAACTTCCTATTGCCTCCCCTCACTTCCTTGCTCCCCAGTATTTCCCCGAAACAAACACGGTTTTTTCGCAAAGACGTCCAAAAACACAGAGTTTTTCCAGATTTTCGGCAAAAGGATGCAGGAAGCCCAAGCCAGCAAAAAAGCCGGCAGGGGGAATCGAGCCTGGGACCCCTGTTTTGCGACACCGGGTCCCCGAAGACTACGTTTAGTGGAACGTCATCAAATTGCCGCGCGGTCCTTGGGGGGGGGGGGGCCCCCCAGTATGGTGGACACTTGGGGTATATTTTGCAACCTCCTTTTTTATGGTATTGGTTTCTTAGGGTTCATGGTTGCAACATAGACTCGAGGTGTCCATGGCACGGGGCCCCCCACGTATCAGACGTCGGGTGGGGGGGGGGTTAGGGGGGGGGGGGTTATCCTCTATCCTCTCCTAGGTGTCCGACACGCCGAGCAATGTCGGCGGACTTTCTGCAGGGGATCTGAGGACAGTTTCACCTGCACAGAGCCCAGCGCCTTATCCATCGCATCCCTGCTGAGCTCTGCCTACACTCCACGTCACCATTGGGCAGTGACTCTCTGAGCCTAAAGCTTCATAAGCCTGGCGCTTACCTCTCGGCTCCATTTCCACAGCGCCAGCCTTTCCAAGCTTTGGGCCCAAAATGTTGGGCTTGCTTGCGCTTTTCTCCGGCCTGCGCGCGTTCGAATCCTGATGCCTCTTTGCTTGGGGACCTTCATGCATGAGCGTTTAAGCTTAAACAAGTCACTCAGCCATTCACACACAGCTGCAGGTTGGCGACTTCAAATAAGTGAACAGCGCGCGATTCGCCTGTACATAGCAGTTTGCTACCTTGTGATCAGAGCTAACGCATAAAAAGGCCTGTACATTCTATGAAGTCCTGCTACAGTGTGGACTTTCTTTCGGAAGATTGAATGTGTTTGCTAGGCCGTCAGTTCGTTACGATATGTGTAATTTGGACAGCGCATGTCGATCGCACGATTCCTTCCTTTTTACCCTGGGAGGGCACATAGAGTCCCTGAATTTCGGGTTTTCATCCCCTCTGCAAGCTGCCGGTATTCCGCGCAGCCAAATCTTTGCTCGAAGTTTGCGTTTGCGGAAACATCTCGCCCACCATCACTCACATCGTGTGACATGTGCCTTGGTTGCCATGTCGAAGGTGTGTGCATCGTGCAGCAAAACCCATGGATAATGCTGTGCAATTCTTCGTGCCACAATGTGCCCCTCAGTTTTGCCGGCGCCAAAAGTCGTATCGTTGGTGCGTCTTGCGTGGTTGGCACGCGCTCTTTTGGTGGTGCCAGGGAAATGGGTAGGGCTCAAAATTAAAGAGCTGGGGTTACGCGGGTCTTAGTCTTTGGTTCCATTTACCTTTTGGTGCCATTTTGGTACCACTTTTTTGAGCCGCAGCCAAATCAAGAGCCTGGAACTCGCTGTCCATGTCGAGATTCCATGTCTCTCGGACGGAGGCTTGGGTTTCCGCTGGGATTGAAGTGCGGCCCTCAGGCTGACCTTCGGGAGGTTACAGCCAAGGCGTTTTCGTTTCCTTCCCTTCAAAACCGTCATGGGTTCAGATGTTGAGACAGATGTCAAACATCAACGGCGTCAACTCAGTTCTCGGATGAGGTTTCTTTGGTCCCTGTCAGACTTGAGAATGTTCTTTTGGCCGGCTGGCATTCTATGGCTTCAAGGTCCTCGGTGCAGTACATCACGAAGTCTCGTTGGCGGTTGCGCCGGGCATCCCGGCCGGCACCGTGCTACAAGGTTTTCGCACGGCCAAAATCCCCCCCGTTGGCCACATTAGCGGGTTTTTCAGGCAAAGGCTGCATGGCAAGATCCAGGGTCCTAGTTTCGGGCACTTGAGATGCGATTTGTGATGCGGGCCTTGCGATTCAATCCGCATGCCCAAAGTCGCATGCATCGGGGAAAATGAGACTGCATCAAGTGCATCGAGTCATGTGCCGAATGCTCGACGAGCGGCCGAGGGAGCGTTGGGCCTTTGGCGGGATGCCTGAATGTCATGAACGGGCGCGGCCGGCGATGGTTTGCGGTTTGGCAGTCAGGAGCTCTGCGAGCAAAAGGTAGACCAAGAAACAACACTCGAGCACACAGGAATTAAACATAACCAATCTGTGAGCAAGCAACGAAGACAAGCACAAACTTAAGCCTAGAAATGCAAACCAAAAAGCACAAACACGTCCTCACAGAAGACTTGTTCAAGAGCCACCGGACTGAAGTCGAAGCAGCATGAATCATAATTTGTGGCGCACAGCCAGTGTTTGTTGGCTTAGCGAGCACCATCCTGATGTGGAAGCCTGTGATCGTGTCCAAATCTAAGGGATCCCTATTGCTCGGGTGAAGGGTCCCTAATGCACAAGACACGCCGTGCATGAGTATGGAATGCCATGTAGGATGGGAATGATAGGCTTCAGTTTTTTTTTGGCAAATGGAGCGGACTCTTGCCAGGTCTATGCATTTGGTGTCCATTAAGGCGGGCTGAACGGCTTTGTGGGGCTTTCTGGACCACATACGCTGGAGGCAATGTCCACTTTGGTCCATGTTGGAGGACAAATCCGCGAGCCAGAATTCCATAGGGCCGGCAGGTACTCAAGGACCACATTCTTCGGTATTGTCGATTTTGGATGACAAATCAGAAGTGTATTCCCACTATGCGATAGTTCAATATGATTTACCAACCCCCTGCAGATTGATCAGAAGTGTCACGGTTTTGAGTGGGGAAAGCACTTTCTCTCTTTCTCTGTTTGTCTCTTTCTCTTTTTCTCCCTTTCTCCCTTGCTCTCTCTCTCTCTCTCTCTCTCTCTCTTTGTTTCTTTCTTTCTTTCTTTCTTTCTTTCTTTTTTTCTTCTTTCTTTCTTTGTTTCTTTTCTCTTTCCCTGTTTCTTTGTTTCTCTCTTTCTCTCTTTGTCTTTTCCTCTTCCCCGCGTCGTGCCCTCTTCCTCCTTCTCTTGTTCTTTCTCTTTCTTGTTTTTCATCTTTCTCTTCTTGTGCTTTCCCGTTCTCTTTCTCTTTGTCTCTCTCTTTATGTTTCCTTTTTTGGTTTTGGTCTCCCCGCAAAAGCGGGGAGCGAGGCTTTTCGACTCGGAGCGGATGCAAAGGGGTTCCGGTGATGATGACGAGGGGCGACACGGGACGGGATCCTGGGCAGAGCGACGCGCGGAGCCGGAGCTTGCATGGTGGGTTCCGGGCGGAACTTGTAAACTTGTGTTTGTTTCTCTCGTTCTGTCCCTCTCTCTTTCTCCCCAGCCGCGAAAGGAAACCGTGCAAAGATTGGAGCTTTTTGGGTTTGACCCCAAGAGTCGGCAGTGGGTGCCGCGAGCAACGTGAGTCCGCAAAGAGTTCACATTTTGCTGGTTGCGCCAGCTGAAAGACTCAAGAAGCCATGAGTTTTTGTCAGGTCGAGCCGCCGAAAGTCAAGCTGATTCACGCGAGACCCTGAGTTGTTTAAGGTAGACCCGCCGAACGCCCGCAGAGGGCTCACGGTTTTGATCGTTGCGCAAGCTGAACAGCTGGAGCTGGAGCCCGATGGGCCCGAAAGCATGTTGCCGCCGTGTTTTGTCCAGCCGATCCTCCCCGAGAAGGAGCGCGTGCCGTTTTTCCGATGTTTGTTTAAAGTGACTGGTCAAGCGCTTGCGAGGTGCTTCACGCGTGGCAGCGAAAACTCTGTGCGCAAGATGCTCTTTGCAAGTTGCTAGGTTTGCGAGTTGCTAGCTCTGCGAGTTGCTCTGCGCGTGTCTGCAAAACTCTCTGTGCAATAATGTTCTGTGCAAGTTGCTCCGCGCAAGCGCTCTGAATTTGCTCTGCGCAAGTTGCCTGTGCCAGTTCCCTATGCAAGTGGCTCTGTGCCAATAGCTTAGCTTAGTTTGCTTTGCGCAAGCTACTCTGCGCAAGCGTCTCAGTATCTCTGCGCAAGTGTCTTTCCTTTGCGCAAGTTCTGCGCAAATCCGCACGTCGCTATTTGCGAGTGCTCTGCGCAAGTTTCTTGGTGCAAGTTTCTTGGTGCAAGTTGCGGTTTTCCTCGGGGATGCGCTTATACGTACTACTTCTGACTGAAAAGTCACGATTTTCTGGTCTTGAATGAACACGCTTGGTACCACATGTGAAACTTCCAAGAAACAGCTCGCAAGCAGCACAAGTAACGAAATTTGTACGGTGCCATGTCGCGCGCATCATAACCGTTGCACCAAGTCCTCAGTTTTTGCATATTGACCACGCTGACCCCTGCAGAGGGTCGATCCGCACACAGACAAATCGTAAGAAGTCTCCATTGTTTTGCTCATTTACCACGCCGATCTCCTCAAAGGGCTAGATCCGGGCGCCGCAAAATCGCAACACGTGCACAGAAATCGCAAAACAACATTGACCACACCGATCCCAGCCCACCCCCCGAACGGAATACCAAGCTCTCTCACGCGCATTCAGAATTGTTCCGCAGGCTTGCCCCAAAGTCCGAAGAGGGTTGAGGCGAAGTGACAACCGTTAAAAACCCGAGTTTTCGAGGGTCGACCCGCAAGCACGTCAGAGGCCGTGCCAATGGGGTCTGTAGGCTCCTACTTCTAGAGCTTTCCTACGCATTGCAGCCAAAGCAATGATGGAATTGAAGGCTCCTTTCTCATTTGCGACTCTCTCCTGGCGCCTTACTCGACACTTCCTCTTGTTGAAGGCAGATGGCCACGTGAAAGCCTCGGATTGTTCTCGAAGTGAGCCATATGAAAATTTCCAGCTGACTGGGATGTTCCCGGAGGCGCAGTCCACTGTGGCCGGGGTGCAGGCAACGAAGGCACCTGGGGCGGCACATGCAGAGCCAGTCGTGACCATCCCATACGACAAGCCGGGGCCCCAATGTGCGTGTTATCTGGGCCCGCAAGCTTTTTTGTCTCTTCCAATCGGGGCTCGCCAAGCAACCCATGATATGTGGATTCGGACGAAAAGGCGTAGACCCTTTGTTTCCGCGGCCTGCTGCAGTTGAACGGGCCCGCGACTGAGGTTGCAAGCTCTCTCCCCCGATGCCCTGGAGAAGCTTCGCAAGGCTTTCGTTGGAAGCGGCCTCAGTTGCCCCAAACCGAATGGACGCTTGAAGTTCCGACTTTCCTATTTTGCCTTTTGACGACCGCTAAAAACTTTGATTCTAGGGTCCCAACCATGTATGCCTGGGTAGCAGCCCCTGCAAAATACTACAGAAGCTCAAATACACAATGGGTACATAAATGGTATACAGCCATAGTTCCCAGTGGGATACCAGGAGATTGGGATGGTTTCTCGGGCCTGCCTGGATGCGTGACTGATTCGAGGGTCAAACTGTTGGCAATGAGGATGGAGAATCGGCTGCCTCCTTTGCTCACTGGATTGCCTTTGCGGAGAAAACAAAATTTTGAGGGAGCGCCAACTAAGAGCCCTGGCGCGTCCACAAAGGAGAGAGCAAGTGGCCGTTTTCCCAAGGCCGTTTGGGGCCCAGGTCCCCACGCCTACGGCGCGGTGGCCATAACCAACATTCCGAGCTACGGCGAGCTGAAACGCAAAGCGTTCCGAGCAGGCGGGCGCCGGGGCGGCGGCCGTTTTTTTGGTCGGCCGGCGTTTGTGTAAGCCGTAGCTCGGTTCGGTTCTACACACCCCTTGACATCCCGTCGTCCTCTCGTGAGAATCCACTGAATGGTTCTATACTGGAGACAGGGTCACCAGTATCACCTCTTGCCTTTGGGGTCATTTTTCCAAATTAACAATTGGTTACAAACGTCTTAGCATTTTGACATGTTTGGAAGCTCAAGGGGCTGTCTTGCTTTGTTCGCTTGCCAGGCATTGATTTGGCACTCTTGGATGCGGATGGGCGCAAAACTGCCGCGGCGGTCAACAATACCTACCCGGGTTGGAGTGGCACGCCAGGCTGGGAGCAGGGAGCTATGGCCCGATCTTTTCCAGTTTTCGCTTGACGTCTTTTTCGGTCCAGGGCCGGGCCCCTTGGCCTTTTGGTTGCCTTGAGCGATTGGATTTGTCTGGTGTTCTGGTTGCCTGCGTGAGTCCTCCGATGCATCGAATGGAGCCCAATGACATTGGAGAAAACTTGGCCCTGCCCAGCTTGCAGGACCGGTACCATGGTAAGCAGGGCTTGCTTTCGTGGTGGCGCGGACGTTTTGAGTTGGACATCCTACAAGCAACTCCTTTGAAGGAAGCCAGGACCTGTGTTGCAAGCGAGTAAAGCGCAACTCAAACAAGCGTCCTGGATTCTCGCAGGCAGTGAGACGCACCCGCGCTGCCCTCGGAGCTGATCTTTCAGATCTTTGTTTCTGTTTCGAGAGGCCGCGCAGTTCGGTTTGGGAACGACAGGTTCGCGAGAGCTTCAAAGGGACCCCCATGGCAAGCAGTGAAGCCCTCCGCCGGAATGCCGGTCCGAGGCTTCAAAGCAGCTTTTTGTTTAACGTTAAAGAAGAGCTTCCCGGCGGTAAGCCAGTGCCTTGGCCAGCATTCAGATTTTTCGCATGTCCTGCACCCCTGCCGTTTTTATTCTTTTCTTTTTTCGTTTTTGTTGGGCAACAGACCAGCGAAGGACCCTTTCTTCGGAAAGAACATTTTCCCCAGCGAGGACGGGCGCCTTCCGCGAGCCGGTTGGACCGGTCGCATTCACCCAACAAAATGCGCCTTCCAGCCAGTGACTTCTGCGAGAGTTGGGCTGCCATGTAGGGAACGGCGAACACCTGTCTAGTTGGTTTTTTTCCCCCTCTGTGGTTGCATTGCTTGTTTGCTCTTGAAAGGCTTGGCCGAGCCAGTTGCCGGCAAGGAGTACAAGAAGACCTGGGTCTCCTTTTCGACTTTGATGTACTCTACCGCGCTACAAGTCCTACGGGGCAGCTCGGAAGAGATTTTCCGCAATGACAGTTTGGGCATGTGGAAGCTGGTGATGACAATCATTTGCACAGAACTATGCTTGACCCTGGTAAGTGGAAACATGTACCAAAACCCGCGTAACCCCTCCTGTTTAATTTTGAGCCAAAGCTATTTAGAACTTTCAGAGGAACGACCCTTTTGCATTTGCAGAGGATCTTGCTGGGTCGGTTGCGTGCGGTGACGAAAGCCCGGATTTTTTTTTTGAAGGCTGGTGGCGAGTGGCTGGCTGGCTGGTGGCGCCGCGGTGACGAACACCCAAATCAAATTGGATCGGCTGTCCTTTCTGAGGCTGGGCTTTCTGGCTAAATGGGTTGCTGGCTGTCCCCAATTGAAAGTAGCGCCCGAATTGCTCTTGAGCTCCGGCTTCTCTTCCGCGCAGGCCAAAAACAACTTATGTGTAGAAAGGAAGCGAAGCACTCTGCTGCGGATCTCGAGAATCGCAACTTGGAGCGATGACGAAAGTTGCTTGACGAGCAGCGGACGCTTCTCCAAACGCAGAGGGGTCTTGCGTTCCGGCGTTCCGGGCAATTTCTGAGCCGAACCGTGTTCCGAGATTGAAGCAGAAGTAACCATGAAGTTCTAGGTCACTCAGAGCAGCTGCGCAGTTTGCATGCGCTTGCTTTCCGGGCAAGGCAAGTCGCTGCGCAAGTTACTCTGCGCAAGTCGCTTTGCGCAAGTCATATTTGACTCCAGTCTTTTTTACTCACGTCACTTTGCGCAAGCTACTCTGTGCAAGTTACCAAGCGCAAGTCCCTTTACGCACATCGCTTTGCGCAAGGCACTCTGCGCCCGCCGCATGTGACCCATCTACGCAAGACACACAGAATTACCGCTAGACAAGTTACACGATGAAAGTCGTTCTGCGCAAGTTGCGTTGACCAAGTTACCTCGCGTAGGTCGCTCTGCGCAGAGCATGTTGCGTGAATTCCTTTGCGCACGTCGCTCTGCATAGCTTGCTTTGAGAAACCCAACCTCTGCAAGTGACTCGCTTCGGAGCAGCATTGCCAAGCAACGCAATGAGGGTGAGAAGTCCGACCAGACCAAGAATTTAACGCTCGCAAAGGAGAGCGCTGCAACAACATGTCAACATGATGGAGCAGCTTTTGTTCCTCCCAGCAAACTCTATGTTTAGAAACTTCTGTCATGTAGCTTCGCTGGAGGACTGACGGGAGCACGTTCAGCATCTCGTTGTCCAAGTGCTTGATGCGTTCTGATGATGATACCTTGTAATAATGGATGGTCATCGTACTATCTTGTTCGAGTTCGCGTCATTCATCTCGACGCATGTTATCCTGCTTCGTTGCAACCTAGTGGAAACTACACGCACGTGCCGCCTATGTGACCCTACCACGACCCCATTCTCTGAAGAACCGACCCCTTAGCCAGCTTTCGCTATTAGGATCGTCTTCTTGGACAATTTTGAAGCGAGATGTTTGTTAAGCTATAGAAGAGCAAGCGCGCGCCCCAAAGTGTCCTGAGCCGCGAACCTTTCTCGCGAAATCCAGGCGCCACATTGGATGCCTAGCTCTTCAAAAACCGGACCAACTCCAAAAAAAACCGCTGAAAACCAGCTGATCCAGCAGGCAGTTGTTTGCCCCCATTGCGCTGCAAAGATACATTACCCCACCAGTAGTTCTTCCATTTCCCCTCCATTACCCCACAAACAACCGGAGGCCGCACCCTGCCAAGAGGTCGAAGTCTTACTCCGCCTCAGCCTCTCGGCCCTAGGCTGCGACCGGCTTATGGAGCGGGAGGTGAAGCATTGGCAGGGGCGAAGCCTCGAATGCCTTGGCCGCTCGGAAGACCGGCCGGCGCGCGCCTGCGGTTGTTGAATCTTTGCGCATGTTGGTCTGTTTGCTTGTTTGTGTGCTTCCTTGATTGCTTGTTTGTTTTTGTTTGTTTTTGTTTGTTTGTTTGTTTTTGTTTGTTTGTTTGTTTGTTTGTGTATTTGCTTGTTTGTCTGCTCGCTTGATTGCCTGTTTGTTTGCTTGTTTGTTTGTTTGTTTGTTTGATTGTTTCCTTGCTTGTTTGCTTGCTTGATTGCCTGTTGTTTGGTTGCTTGAATTCCTGTTTGTTTGCTTGTTTGTTTGATTGATTGTTTGTTTGTCTTGTTTGTTTGCTTGCTTGGTTGATTGTTTGTTTGGTTGGTTGATTGCCTGTTTGATTGTTTGTTTGTTTCCTTGTTTGTTTGCATGTTCGTTTATTTCCTTGTTTGTTTGCTTGCTGCTTGCCTGTTTGCTTGTTTCTTTGTTTGTTTGATTGATTGGTTGTATCCTTGTTTCTTGCTTGCTTGCGTGTTCGTTTGTTTGATTGCGGGTTTGCTTTCTTGCTCTATGTTTATTTGTTTTGCTCACTTAATTCTTTCCTTGCTTGCTTGCTTGCTTGCCTGCTTGCTTGCTTGCTTGCTTGCTTGCTTGCAGTTTCCGAGCCTGCAGCTTATTTCCGGCCACGTTCTGATGACGGCTCTTGCTTGTTTGGGGGTCCAAACACGTGTGTTTTTCATGACCACGATGCCGCCTGTTTTGGTTTTCTTTTCTTCTCTCCCTGGTCTCTAGAGAACGGAGTACTTGGGGGCTCGGGTCAAGCAGGCCGAGCTCAGGGTTTCGTATGGGAGGATTGGCAAAACTGCGACTTTTCGCAACATGGCCCGTGTGTCCCTTGCTTTTTCCGAGCGGCTTGCGGCCTGGCGCCCTGCAGGCCCCATGTTTGCACCGGTGAGTCAGAATTGAGGCGACCAGGGGCCTGCGCTGGCTGGTCGATTTATTTGCAGCTTGGCAAGCCGAAAGAGTTATGTTGAGCATTGGCTGGATTGAAACTGTACTGTCTACCTGTGTAACCCTGTGGCATTGTTGTTTTACACACTTGTGGCAGCACTGCGCACCTGCGCGCTGGCAGGTTATGATTCAGGTTTTACACGTGAGGACCGTCTCCTCGAGCAAGCGGAGGCTTGGCCTGTCATTGTGTAGGCATTTCAGGCAAGTGGCAATCACTTGTTCAGCCAAGGAAGCATTGGCCGCTGCTGAGAATTCATCATCGCAAGTTGCAAGCGCACCTGCTGGTCGGCAGGTGGGTCACGCGGATGACGGTTTGGCATCCATGCGGACCCACAGCACGCCTGTGAAGTCTGCAGGGCATGCAGGGGATGGCCTTGCATCAATGCGGACCCACAGCACGCCGGTGAAGACCGCTGGGCATGCGGGGGATGGTTTGGCATCAATGCGGACCCACAGCACGCCTGTGAAGTCTGCAGGGCATGCAGGGGACGGCCTTGCATCAATGCGGACCCACAGCACGCCGGTGAAGACCGCTGGGCATGCGGGGGATGGTTTGGCATCAATGCGGACCCACAGCACGCCTGTGAAGTCTGCAGGGCATGCAGGGGATGGCCTTGCATCAATGCGGACCCACAGCACGCCGGTGAAGACCGCTGGGCATGCGGGGGATGGTTTGGCATCAATGCGGACCCACAGCACGCCTGTGAAGTCTGCAGGGCACGCAGGGGATGGCCTTGCATCAATGCGGACCCACAGCACGCCGGTGAAGACCGCTGGGCATGCGGGGGATGGGCTGGCATCCATGCGGACCCACAGCACGCCTGTGAAGTCTGCAGGGCATGCAGGGGATGGCCTTGCATCAATGCGGACCCACAGCACGCCGGTGAAGACCGCTGGGCATGCGGGGGATGGTTTGGCATCAATGCGGACCCACAGCACGCCTGTGAAGTCTGCAGGGCATGCAGGGGATGGCCTTGCATCAATGCGGACCCACAGCACGCCGGTGAAGACCTCTGGGCATGCGGGGGATGGTTTGGCGTCAACGCGGACACACAGCATGCCTGTGAAGTCTGCAGGGCTTGGAGGGGAATTCCAAGCCTCAAGCCGGGCCCAAGCTGCTTTTTCAACGATTGCCGAGCCATCAGCGTCTACTGACTATGATTCTTTGGATGGATTTGATCCCTTTGGAGAATCAGCAATTTTGACGGAGAATAGTTCCTTGGCTTGCGTGAAATGTTGACTGTGCCACAGTCAGAGCCTGGGTAGCTGTAGGGGGCAGTTCCTTCCATGAAAAGGTGCCACTCCAACCGTGTCCACATGATTTTGTTTGTTTTCCTTTTCGGGGGATTCCCTCGTTTTAGCTATGCCGCAGTGGATTCGTCTGACGTCCCGGGTGTTGATTGCAGATTGACATGTCCATGAGTCAAAATCCCGTACCCCCAGTGAACATGCTAAAATGGGGCACCTACCCCAAAATGGCATTGGTTGTGACCCACAGCCGCATGACGCTTGGATTCCATGGGAACACAGCTGTGCCCTCTCCGCCCGCCTGAGGCGAAGAAGCCGCCAACGAGACGGACTACTGGCTGCCCTGGCACATCGACTCGAACTTTGTGACCATCCTGCATCAGGACTGGGAGATCCCAGAAAATTGACCCAGAAAGAGACACTCCAAGGTTGCTGGTTCAAGCTCAGCCACATCCGTCCCAAATTCCCAAAGCGTGATTCGATCGCACGGTGAAGCCGAAAACAAACCGAGTCCAGTTGACACTCGCTGCCAAAGCTGGGAAACCGTGATGTGTGTTTCCTCACTTGCTCAAAGCGAATCGACCTTTTCACCTTTTGGTTTCCCTTGGGTCCTTTCTTCGGCGGTCCCAAAAGGCGATCACCTTTTATTCCCTGGTCCCTAAGGGGCAACTGAGTTTCAGGTTGTTGACGTTCCGGCCGAAAAGAACATGTGCCAATTCAACGCCCCGCCAAAAATTCAAAGGGAACGTAGCAACATCCCCACCTCCGATGCCATCCGCAAGCTCAACAAACACATCCGACGGCACTTCATGTACTCCACGTTCAAATCTAACATAAACTAGAAATACGTGGAAAGGTGCAACTAGGGCGGACCAGGGAATCGAACCCAGACGCCAAGCGCCAAGCAAAGAAGCAACATGGCCGTGCCTGGTGTCACAATTTGCAACGGAGTAGAGATGCACCAGCAACATCCCGAGCATCAGCTCTGGCACTGACTACAGGAAGGGTTGGCGGATTTGCGAGCTTTTGATGTTGCGCAAACGCACATGCACGTTTGGAAGGGATGTGGCCGCTTCAATTCGGCTACAAGGCAGTGGCCCGGTTTTGGTGAACAGGGAGGCAAACAGGTCTGTGGCACCAAGCAGAAACAGCGCAGACATGTGACAACATGACTAGTGATTGCTCTGAGCTGCGGCGTTGAGCTTGCGTTCGGCAAAAAGCAAAGGCCGTGGGTTGCTGCGAGGAGATGTATGCGGATTTTACGACGGGCGAGTTTGTCCCACCCCCGGTGAATACTGGGCTGAAGATGATGAATGAGGCAGGTTGCGTTCTGTCGATGTTTGGAATATGTTTAATCAGTCGGCCTCACAGACACTTTCGGACAATCCCTGCGCCTGGCTTCGCAGGTAGGTCAGACCACGCTGCTGGACTGCGATGGGCATGATACGATGCTTCTCCAGTTTGGCGCCTTCGGACAAATCTACACAGGAGAGCAGGGTTGTGGGATCAAGGGGTTTTACCCCACTTCTGTGATACAAGGGACTCTCCCCCGTGTGGTGGGTTAGTCTTCGGGAAGCCCTTGTTGTATCACAGAAGTGGATTCCATTTCCCACAGCCCAGGAGAGGGTTCGAGCATCTCATGAAAGGCTTCCTTTACGGTTGCGCGTGCCAGGTGGGCAGATCCAGGCTTGCCGGCACGCCGCCCCTTGGCAACCGGGAAAAACGGCACCGGCACCCAAATGGATTCGGCTTGCGCTGCAAATAACTTGTTGCGAGCGCCAGGCTCAGTGGGCTTGCTCGAACCGTGTACTCCTTTTGGGGCCGGTTTCTGCAGGAGATTTTGGGCGGTTTGTGAGAAGCCTTGCTCGTTACAAAAGGTAGCTTAATGTTCCTTTGCCGTGATTGTACCGATCTTTCTTGCTGGAGGCTCGGCAAATTTGCGGACCCTTTCTGGTAATTAATTGAAAGTAAGACAGAATGTCACCAGCCCAAAACGGACCCTACCGCTAGCCACTTGCAGATGTGATTGTTGCAGCCTCCGAGGCATTTCCGTGAAGCAAAAAGGGGGGAGGGTGGGGGAGCATATGGATTTCAAATACCCAAGCTGCTTAAAAAATGTGACGAGAATGGGTGCCGAATCGTGGCAGCTTGTTGAGGCTTGATGTTCTTTGCGGGTTGGGGAGAGATTCCCAGCCACTTTTCGCGCACTGGGTTTTCCTGACAAATTCACCGACTGGCGAGTTGATTCTACACTTGCCCCATGATCAATTGACGTGGGATGTGGCCTTGACTTTGAACAGGAATCTTACCTGCTTTGTGGTTGGCGGACAAATCAATGTTCAATGCATTTCTGATCAACTGGCCCATGGCTCACACCCAGGGATTTCTAGCAAAAAACAGAGTTTATTGTAAGTATCAACTCCCCAATGAGAGCTCAGGTGGTTATGGCTCAAAATTAACCAGGAGGGGCAAACCGCAGGTTTTAGTCCATGTTCCATTTGCCAGGGTTCCATTTTGGGCACCTATTTTTGACCCACACCCAGGTCATGAACCCCGTCTTGCCCGGCCTTACGCGCTTCAACTTCTGCAACTTCTGGTACGTGCCGTGGCAGACGGTGTGCCAGGCGCCTGAAGGCGGCTCGCTCGAAGCGCGACGCGGTCACCGGTCCGGATGGGAAGCAACGTGTCAGTGTTTTGGTTCGGGACACCAAAAGGGAACCGCGCGGCTGGATGGGGTCCTTGGCCTGAACCTCAGATCGCCTCCGATGGTTTGGTTTGGAGCTCTGGAACCAGACGACCCCTACGAGCTTCTCCTTGGCTTATCCTGGGCTTGTTGTTAGGCTTATCCTAGGCGTATCCCCTCACCCCCCCTTAGGTGCCCAAAAGGGCGAATGCAGTCCAGGTGCCTTTGGACATGGGAGGTGGCTTGAATGTTTTTGGGGCCCCGAGATCCGTAGATGCGAGAAGTGGACTTGCCAAAATGACCGCCTAGTGTGCGTTTGGGGAGCCCTGAGATTCTGGGATCAAACCTTATCATATTCCGGGTCAGCCAGGTATGTAAACAAAAGCGCACATGACACGCCATCATGTTGTTGACCCCGTTTTGGTTGAAAGGACAACCAAAGGAACCCAACCATTGGTTGCAACCACTTTGCCAGCGAGGTATGGCTGACAGCGCTGTCAACAAGGGCTGGAATGCAATGATGGATGAGCAGTATTTAGACATCACCATGAGGCTGGGTGGGGTGGAAATGGGGTAGAGGCTTCATCATCACGGAAACAGAACATCAATCATCTTACTAGCACCTCGGCCTGGTGGGACCCATTTGAAGAAAGTCCCAACCGGCTCACTCGTCCAATTGCGCCAAGGAGAACAACAACTCAGGAGAGCAAGTGAGAAATGCCATTGCTTGCGCCCTAGGTGAGGTGGACACACGTCGGAATCCACCAGAATTGTGTCCACACTTGGCTAAGACCCCCTTTGTGGCTCTTCGTTTCCTTTTTTGCAGGTGGTTGGTTGGGTCCAATTGGGGATGGCTGAAAAGTTAAGCAGCTGGGGTTGCTCAGGCTTTCATCTTTCCATTTAGCAACGTGCCATTTTGGGGATCCCAAAGCCACAGCCAAGGCTTCAGAGTTCAGAGCAAGGCTGCGGGGGGTTCAGGGGTTTCCTGAGGCAGAGCTTTTCAGCCTTCCGCCAGCCGCTGGGCAGAGTTGAGACTCGAGACCGGGCGGGCCTCCCCAGGTCATCCAAGGCCGCAAGAACCGAAGGCTGGCAGAAGTCAGCCTACACTCCCCGAGTTCCTGGACTTTGGTCATTTTTCCGGCTTGGACCATTGAAGGGCCTTGATGTTGAAGGGGGAATATCTGAAGAAAGGCCCCCCAAATCAAATGTAGTCATTTGATTGTGAGGCCTGACATACGGCTTGCAACACTCAGGCCGGTCAAGAGCAACAAACGCGGTTCGCCTGAGGTTTATGGTCTCTCCGGAGGCGCGGCTGCAGTTTGCGGATTCCCAGCGCTTCAAAGAGCTGTCCGAAGTGCTGCCCATGGTGCGACAGCACAAGCCAGGCCATGGGGAAGCGGGGCACGAGTTGTGTACTGGTGGTCTCCTTTAAGGGAATCGCTAGGCGTATTCCCAAAGCTCTTGTGATTCCCTAATCAGAAAGGCTGTTTGGGTGCCTGGAACAGGAGGTCGTAAGCTAGCACCAAGAGTACCATGAGTTCCGTGCGCCTCTGTCCCAAAAAGCCAAAACGGGAAGCCTCAAGAGGCGCGGCCGGTGGCAAGCTGAATATCCAAGTGGACGTGCTCACGGATGTGCGCTGCCCATTCTCGTTCATCAGCCAGAAGAATCTGGAAACCGCCATCCGGAACCAGTCGCTGCAACTCGGGCCATGTCTCATGGTGGGACCTAGAGAAATTCGCTCAAGTTCACAAGCATTCTTGAGCTCGGCGCCACTCCGTGTCTAGCTGATAGCTTCGGGGTGGCAAATGAGAAGCGCCGGAGAACGGCCAAAAGCTGAGGCAAGATCAGGTGGCGGTCCGCTATCATCCGATCTTCCTGAATCCCAACATTCCCAAGGACCAGACGTTTTTTCCAGAGTTCCCTGCATGGCGTTTTGGAGAGGTTTCAAAAACCATAAGCTTCTTGGCCGACTCAAAGGGAGTTTCCCTCTGAGTGGGGGTGATGCTCAAAGGGAAATATAGGGAGCCCCGTTTTCTTTCTGGCATTTCACCTGTGGAGTCAGCTTGGCGTCCCTGGGCTTCTTTTGGGTCACATGTTCAGAAGGCCAGGGGTGGCCTCGGTGGCTCGGCATCTTCCCTCCGATTGCTTGGGATTCGTGTCTTGGTCAGGGGTGGACTCGCAAGGTCGGATCGAGCCACAATCCACCGAGGGTTGCTGGAACGCATGGCTCAAGAGGGGGTGGACAAGACTGGGGTGCTTGGCTTGGCCTGGCGTGGTCAAATTTAGCACGGACCCCGAAGGTTCAACCCAGGCACGTGCCATTCGCAGGAGGGGCTCAACCTGGACGACTACCTGTGGTGGGAGTTTGGGCACAGCAAGGCCTGGATGTTTCAGCCAGTTTGCACTAGTATGCATGGCAGGGGATTGCGCTGAAAAAGGGCAACCTGAGTAGGTGAATCTGCATTGGGGACGTGAATCTTTATCCTTTTGGGAGCTCGGTCGGGCATGCGGGCAGTGCAATTTGCACAGTGCTTCTCCATGATCCCATTGTTTGGATCTGAAAGAATCCGTGGTCCCATTCGACCCTCGACAAAGGATCTACGGGGAATGGTCAAAAGGAGTTATATGCCAATCCTAGTGTTTTCTGAGTTCTTCCCGACTTTCTCATGGACATTGAGCGCACATGTTGGGACACACTGAAAGAGCCGATTGCAGGGCCAAGGCAATGGGCAAAGCTCGTCAGGAGTATGCTCGTTCAGCGGATTACCCCTTGCGCAAGCATGGCCGGGAAGCCGGCATCGCGTCTTGGGCGGCAAGGTTTGCTTTTGGCTAGGAGGTTGCAGAACTTGCGGTTCTTGTTTCAACGGCGGCCCCTGATTTGAACCTAGATATGATTCAGGGGTCTCTGTTTCGGAAGCCTGCCCTTGAATGACCAGCAATCAAATTAGGGGTGAACATGAGTATTTCCCATGAACTGTGGAGCCATCATTTTGGCTGGTTGTGAAGGAACACGAAGCTCAATCCATCATGCAAAGGGGCTGCACAGAAGACAACCAAATGAACAGCTTTCTTTGAATCGGCATTCGTGCCGCACATGGGTGGTTCGTCAAAATGCTGCTCACAGGCCAGGTTGTAATATAAGGCCCGCACTTTTGACAGCTGTAATGCGCCAGGCGCAAAGACACCTGACTTGGCATGGGTATCAACCACTTGTTAGCCTGGATTTTGTTTCAAACATGGCCATTCCATTTAAGAGAACCTTGACCCGCAGATTCTTGGAGTCATGGCACATGCACACGTGCCGGATGTTCAGGACATGAACCCCGAGCGGCGTGTGGTCAACACCTTTGACGCATTCTGCCTCATCGAGGCGGCGCAGGAGCGTCCGGCTCGTGTGGGGCGCCCGTTGTGGGGACTTTTGCTCTTGTTTAGTGTTTGCAACGCAACAGGAAAAGGCGATTGTCCGGCGATTTTCCAGAACCAACGTAGGCTTCCGACGGTCCCAGCTGCGACGGATCTCCGCTTGGTGTTGGGACTCCTTTGACGGCCAAAGCCACGGCCCCGATTCCGGCAAGCGGACATTGCCAACCAGAGTATTAGGAGGCTGGCGCAGGCTCACGCGGCCAGCGAGCTCATGACTTGTGGCCCAAAGCCCCCAGGTTCTTGACCATGGCTTTTGACAACATGGAAGCCACTTGTAGGGCTTGGAGGGGAACCACTTGAGGGTTGCTTTTAAGCAACATGAGGTGTACTTGAGGCGAACCTCCAGCTCGGGATGGAGCAGCCTTGACACGACTGGCTTGCAAATCGGGGCTCCCGCGTGAGGCGCGAGGCCCCCAAGTTGTTGCAGTGAGCCGACGTTTTCTCCAAATTGTGGCTGAGGGGGTGTCCCTCTGAAGATTCTGGGTGAATTATAACGACCTCACACGACCGAATTCACCCCAAATGGTGGTTTATGTGGGGAATAGCCCCCCAACCACCTTATTTCAGGGTGAAATATTATAATTCACGCAGAACATTGTAAACGACGTGTGGCAGAACTGTCCAACGCATGGTCAACAGCTCGTGTCTGGCTTCCCTTCGCTTCCCTTGGCTTCAGACGAGACTGTATTCAGATGCTTTGCGACGGACACGACGGACTTGCGTGGGGAAGCCAGGCACTGGTGAGGAAGAAAGCCCACTGGCACCATAGGTGTCGTTTTTGGGCTGTTTTGCTCGAAAAATAGCTGGCGATACCTGGTTTACCTGGTGGTTTACCAAAGCCACTGGCACGCGGCACGCAGGAGAAGGGCGTCCAGCACGAGCTTGTGCAGCTTCTGTCCCACTGGTACTTCGAAGCAGCCAAGGACCGCAAGGAACAAAATTGTTCGCCTCGGGGGCCCCACGTCTTCACAAGGACACCTGACCGGGGTCCTTTCTGAGACGAGCTTGGAAAAACGGGGCGCACTCAAGGCGGCAATGTCTTCGTTTCGGCGCGCGGAACCGGGAAGAGCGCGTAGAAATGCGGCATCTGGTCTATCCTCTTGGGCCTTGAATGCTTCAAAGGGAAACAAGCCAAAGAGGAAGACCAATATTTGGAGTGGCCAGTTGGCTTCAAGGTCTCCGGATCTCTTGCATCGAGATGGGAGGACTCGCTGAAAACACCTGCGGTAATAATCCGCAGAAAGCCACCCACCCACCCATCCATCCATCCACCCACTCGCTCCCTCGAAAAATCAAATGACCCCAGCATGGGAGAACCCCCCCAAAAAAAGAAACAAAAAACGAATTGGCTCATCGCCGTTGTAACAGCACCTCGGGCGGCACGCACAAAGGAAGCCACCCTTCACTTCGGGGCGATACTGCGGAATGTTGGGCGCCGTTTTTTTTTGTTTTTCCCCCGGGTATCCAAGTTGAGGTTTTTCCAAGTAAACAGCTGGACATGGATCCAACGAGCACCGCGAATTCACAAAATCAAAGCGGAGGACATCTCCGACGCGGAGGTGCTGAAAGCCGCCGCGGAGGCGGTGGGTTTGCAGGGCGAAGCGGCGCTGGCGCGGGCGAAGGAGCTGCGGCCGCTGGTGCAGAGCCGCTATGAGGCCCGCTTCGGGTTGACAGGGGGGGGGTGCGGTGGGCAGACCGAAGAGGGCCTGAGGGTTCAATGTGAACCCCGGATTAATACACCCCTGGTTGATTGATCCAGTAAGATTCAGACCACTTTTGGAGGGAACACCCCCAACAACGGGACGGGTTTATTAATCCTGGGTCAACATTAAGGGGGTGGTTGGACAAGTGTGGATGAAGGACGTTTTTTTGTTTGGGGGTTTGGGGAGAAGGGTTTCTGGGTCCACTCAGGTGAGGGGGTCAAAGTGGCTATGAATCTGAGCTTTGGATTTGAGTGGCTATGGAAGCCCCTAAGCTGGAGCTGGAGTACATAAATCCTCAAGGGCTCCGAAAATGGGTGCCCTTTGTAGAATATCCACAAAACTGGCGTTTGCTTTGAGCGTCCCAAACCACACCAGTTGAAGCCTAACAGTCAAACTGCAAAAGTCCCAGAACTTGGGACCATTCAGCCCGCCCGAAGCCGGCAGAAGCAACATGTTCGAAGCCGGTCATGGCATAAGACACATTCAGCCATGTTTACCTTTGGCTCAAGTGTCGCATGCGAGCAGCCATATTCCTGGATATTTGGCCTCACTTTTTTGTTTTTAACGAGCTTAGCAACCATTTTTTTGCTGCTCATCGCTTTTTGCCAATGGCCTAGGTTGGACACGGTGATTCATGATAATTACTTCCTGAGCATTTTCCACAATCTTTTCTCAATGTGCATGCTTGGTTGGTGTAGGAAACGAGCTGTGTACCGTCAACGCATAATGCTGCGTTCGTTGGGGTTTCGAGTCCCTGATGGGGTAGAACGAGCCCACATTGTAAAATGGTAGCTCAAAAGGCCAGCGCGTCAGAGAAGGATTGCGTTTAGTCTCCTGGTCCATTGGCAGGAGATGTCTGCCATGCTGGGCGAGGTGCCGCATTTTTTGCTGCGCGAGCAGGCGGAAAGGGGCAGGAAGGTGAGCTCTGCAACATGGGTGCGCGCTTGTTATGGAGGGTGCCCTCAAAGGGAGAACATCACGTGCTTCTTGTATGTGCTTCAAACAACTATGCATTTCCATCTTAGGTTGGCTGTATCAGCAAGCAAGATGAGCCTTATCAGCTGAACTCAAGGCTCCTTGAAGAATCTTCTGTGAGCGCATTAAATCAGAATTATTGGAGGGCAAAGGCGGGCTGACATCAGGGCCATCGGTCAACATTTTCCAGGTGGGTCTGGGCTTGCATGTAGTTCCCGCGCGTGAGTGGCGCTTGGTTTCTGACTTGTTGGCATGTTGGCCATGTCTGAGGTGTCACACTAATGACTTGTGATATCATGTTCACAAGAACTGCCAGTAGATCATTCTCCTTGTTCTTGCCCCGTGAACACGGTTGTTGTTTGAGCGCTTCGCCACGTTTTGCATGTACATCTTCAACTTGTCGTCTTGCATTTCGGGGAACCAGCCAGTCACCAGACCAGAGGCTCGCAAGCGTCGAGTTTTTGTGAGCGCAGGCCTCCGGCAAGGGCCTGGAGGTGGGGGGCCTGCGCACCGTCGAGAGCTGGGAGCAGGCGCGGCGAAACGGACGCCGCGTCTACTCGGTCTACTAAGATACTGGATGGACGAAAACGGGAGAAATACCCGCCGACCGACTGGTTTCAACCATGGTTTCAAAGCAGTGCGAAATGGATGTCGTCCATCCACGGTAGGCATTGCTATGCCAAAGCCGAAGGGCAGAGGCCGCCTTGCCACAAAGCAAAAGGCTCAATCCCAGGCTCCGACCACCCAGGAAGGTGATGAGTGATGGGTCTGTCTCAAAATAGAGGAACTCCCAAAATGGGTGGTTCTTAACTTGGAATTTCGACAGCAATCTTACGTTTGTGGATTTGTGGACATCTATTTGGGCCGTCCAAGGGATCGCGTCCTTAGTCAAACGACCGAATTCAAGCTCTACACTTGATTGCTATTGGGTCTGACCCTTAGACTTGAACTTTTCGGGAAGTCAACTGGTTTCCACTAAACCCACAAAAAGTGAACAACTTTTTTGCAGAGGGGTCGTACAGCAACCAAGTTGCCCAACCAGGTGCTGCAGGACGTCTTGGAGAGGGGCAACTTCATGGGCATGACCATCGACGGCCCCCACGGCCAGGAGGCGGGCAAATGGCTTGGCTTTCTCTGAGCTTTGTGTGCGAAATTTCTCGGCCTTTCGCCTCTGGGTGACCTGAAACTCGCCCCTTTTTTTGGCTTCTCTGAAAGCCGGCAGTTTTTCCGGAAATCTTTCACGCCGTTGGTTGTTTCTTCCCGACGGTGAAAATGAGTGGACCTGATCCCTTTGACCAGCATGACTCTGCCATCAGGGTAAATCCCAGATGGTCCCCCGGTGTATGCGCGTTTGTTCTGTCGGACTTGGTTTCGAGACTTGGACCAATGGAGCCCAACGGCAGGGTGCTAAGCAGCCGGAGTGGCGGATGTTTTCGTTGAGTTTCGGGTTAGGGGATTCCTTGTCCAAGGAACGCCTAACCGAGGGACTTTTGTTTCAGATCTTCCGGTTCAGAGTTGCCCAAGACCCGCCCGCCCAAAGTGCCAGATATTGGGCCATCCATCCGGGCGTGGACTGGAACACGAGTTCGGCCCTTGCAAAAAGGGACCGTGTACTCGCGCCAAGTGTTCTGGCCAGGTTCTTGCTGTTTCTCAGGTGAACCACCCGAGCCAATACCAGGGAAAGCCGAAAGACCCCCCTGACATACCAACCAAGCTCTCTTGTGGCTGTTTGCGCGCACTTGTTGTTTCTTGTTTGGGGGGGGACCCAGGTCATGTTTGTTCCCCTGCTTCACCTTTTGGGGCCAAGCAGTCGCTGGGGTTTGCTTG